CAGGGAATACACTTGTGGATCACTTCCACATGTTTTGTTAGGGTGTTACTCTGTCTCTGTCTGTTCAGACACTTGATCCTGCAGCAGTAAATGCCTCCTATCAGATCCAAAGAAATAAAACACCTTCTCTAAGACACTAATTAGCATTCTTTATTATTGCAGTTAATTAAGATGATAGTGTTTTTCTCAATGTTGATTCATAATTTATAATAAAAAGTGAGATTTACTTTGATAGTGTCTTGCACTCAGAAATTGTTTATATTTCCTATAACCAATAATTATACTTGCAGTTACATTTTTACAGTGAATCAAAATGACATATATATCAAAATTATATATACCTTGCAAGCTCATGTCATCTTGAATGCATTTCAAAATTACAAAGACTTTAAAATTTGCAGAGGAATAAAATTACTATATATGAATAAGCCTGTCTTAAAAATTGGAGCAGTTTCTTCTTACTTTGTTTTATAAAGATAGGAACAGAACTCAGCGCAGATCATGGCTGGAAAAGCTTTAAATCTGTTTCAAGGATTCAATATGAAAATGTCTAATAGGAGGCATTGCACTTAAGTGTATGTACTACAAATAGCTGCCTGAGATGCTGTGTTGTATGCACACAGATTGAGATTGTATTAAAAATGATGGCCTGCTTTTACTGGTGTTAGTGATTTAAGAAAATAATTACATTCACTTCTTTTTTAGTTTTCTTCACTCCAGATGAAATAACAAGTGAAAACCTTGACCCTAAGGGGAAGCAGGTCTTGGGTAGAAGAGGTGATTTTGAGTGTACCCAGTGAGCACTCTGTGCAGGAGGCAGCCACAGAGGACTGACAAACTGTAGATGGTGATGCAGGCAGGCACAGAGAAACTTTCATGCTTTCATTCCAATGCTACCTACTTTTTGAACCAGGTGAGGCTTTTATTTACAAATAGAATTTTAGCAACACATGAAGAAAATTGGCTTTGTGGCAAATTGTGGTAATTTGGTCAGAAAGATAGTCACAGGAAAAACTCACCAAGAGTTGAACTGTACGAATGCTCCCAAGGTAGTTTGATCATCAAAGTATCAGTAACCCACACATGGCTTCAAAGACACTAAGTGACATTTTTATAAGAGGAAAGGGCCAATCAGGTTGTATGATTAAACACTATCAGTTGAAAGACTCTGATAAATATTTGTATTTTCATGCTTCAGATACAGTCAGTACTTCATTCATTGACCAACAACCAGATGACTGTTCACTATTAAATGGTATCCCCAAGTGCAACACCTACACTTCCAGGGTTAGTGATTCCACCACTATCCTGGGCAGCCTATTGCAAGGCTTGGCCACCCTATTGCAAGGCTTGGCCACCCTGTCAGCGTACAATATTTTTTTAATATCCAATCTAAACCTCCTCTGGCACAACTTGAGGCTACTTCTGCTCATCCTGCCACTTGTTACTTGGGAGGAGAGAAAACCCCTAGTTGGCTACAAACTCCTTTCAGGTAGTTGTAGAGAGTGATAAGGTCCCCCTGAACCCTCTTTTTCTCCAGGTTTAACTGCCCCAGCTGTAAATGGCAGGTTAAAAGATAAAACTTGTCTTGTTGTGAGAGCATGATGTGGTTATTATGTTTACATTTGTTACAAATCATGCTTCCAAAATAGTAAAGAACATGTAAAGATGTGAAATCTAAGAAAATTAATTATTTCAGACAACAAGGCAGCAGCTTAATTAGAAATTAGGATATTATACCTTGTTGGCAAGGGAGCAATGCATAATAAATATTTTCTGTTGGGGCTGTGGCTACAAAAGACTTTGAATCATCTGTTAAAGAGGTCTCATAGCATGTGTGACAGATAATAAAGTTAGCATTTTTATCTATTAATTGACTTTTCTAAACTCCTCTAGTTGAATGTCTTTTGGCATGCCCTTTGTTAGTTCTCTCCAGTTCCAAATCAGAGTGATGGAAGTAGTATTAGTACTAATAATATACTCCTTCACAATTATTTATCTATATAATTATCATTGTGTTGGTTGGAAAGGAAGAAGGGGCTTGGTTTAGAGAAATGCAAATGATATTGTGGGGTTTTGTGGTGGTAAGGTGTGGGGATGATCACTAGCTGAATCTTGTTGCTGCAATGACAAAAAGGTTGCACAAAATTTAACTCTTGCTCTTAATCTCTCCACTGTGAAAATATAGGAGAAGGTGGAAGGTTAAAATTGCATTTTCTTAACCAGGACATAATTTGCTATTCTAGATTTCATCTGCTTGGATAAGTTTTTCTTAACAAAGGACTCTATTTTTGTGTGTGTGCATGTGTCCAAAGTGTTGGACAAACCTGATCCTATGAAAGAATGATTGCTAAGGACAAGGAAAGTTGTAATTACACATGCAGTTTCTTAATGATTTACTGACACGGAAGAATGGGGCTTTGAAGAATGTGTAACTTTCCTTACTGAACAGGTTAAAAAAAAAAAATTTATCATCAGAGTACAAATAGTAGGCATTTTCTATACGCCTTTCTTAGTGAGTAATATTTTGCTTGGTTATGAAACTTTAAATGTCATTTAAATGCTGCTGTTTGTTTTCCTGTAAGGTGAGGCTTCATATGCCTTGCTTTTTCAGTCTTTATTTTCAGCATATTTAATGCTGCCTTTATTTTTATTTTATTTTCTTTCTTGTATTTTCTTTTTGCTTATGAGCATATCTGCTTCCTCCTTTAAGAGAAGCTTTCTATAAAACATGTAGATGCAAGAGTTTTTATGTCCTGGAGCTAGAGATGAATGGAGCTAGTGGATTACTGGAGCTTGTGTAAATCTGCAGCTGACAGTCTATGCTCTGCCCTGCACCCGTGCTAAAGATCGGTGATGCGCACAGGGATAGTTCGAGGAGAACTCAACTAAAAAGGGAAAATCTTTATGTAGTTGGCCAGCATCGCATAACCCTTGTTCATTTACGAAGGCAAGGGAAACCTCCTCTGGCCAGAAAGACCAAGCTCGGCGTTCTTTGGCTGCGTGTTGCGAGGCGAGTGGAGATTGCACCGCTCCGGCCCAGGCTGAGCCTTTAGCCTTTCGTGGGGACCGCCGGAGGGTGCGAGGCCTTGCGGCGGGGCGCGGCGCGGGGAGCCCGCGGGCGGAGCGGTGCGGGCGGAGCGGTGCGTCCCCGGGTGAGTGTGGCGGCGGGGCCGGGGGTCGCGGCCCGTGGCGGGGCGGTGTCCGCGGCCCGCCTGCCGTCCTGCCGGGGCGGCGGGAGCGCTGCGGCGGTGTTGTTGTCCCCGTGTAATGCCCATCGCTGCGGAGCTTTCGGTGAGCAGCCGGCAGCTGCTCCAGCTTCTGGTGCTCCCTTGCCAGCGCAGGGGAAGTGATGCTATAGATATGCTGGGAGGGGTTTTTCCTATAGTTTTATTTTATTGCAATAATTTCCCGGCACGTCTAATGGTGTGTGATCCAAGGAGTCAGGAGACGTGGTACAACAACATGCAGTGGAAAAATGTGGCAGAAACACTACTTTGCTCCACCTCACATCAAGACAAGAGGACGCAGCCTGAGGTTGTGCCAGGCGAGGTTTAGCTTGGGTATTAGTAAGCAGAAGGTAACAGTAAGTGGTTTCCTGCTCCAGTGGTGTTCCGTGGGAATCCGACCTGGGCAGTTTGAGCAGGTAAAGAGCAGTGAAGTGTTAAACCTTGGTGGTGGTATTAAGCTGTGGAAAAATACTAAGAACAAGGGTCAGCTATGAAAAAAAAATAATTGAAAGACCTTATAAGGCTGCCTGAGCAATAAATAACATGGTAAATGTTAGACAGAGAGGGATGAATGGGAACAGAAGGAAACAGCATTCCATGTAGAAGATAGCCTGTGAGCTCACTGTTACTTCCTGGGAGATAGATCTTGGTGTTAGGACAAAATGAAACTCAAATCATGGGACTGGACTTTATGAATATTCATAGAGCCTCCTGGTGCTTACTTGCCAAAAGCAGATGCCTAGGGAAGAGATAGGATATGAAGTGCAAACACATGGAAATGCGTTCCACTGCTGTTTTACCAGCCTCAAAGAATTTTAAATTTAAGGTCTTCCCTGATGAGAAGCTCAAGCTTATGGTAGGTTTTGCTGTTTTCTTAACCAAGACATAAATAACAGTAGGATGTGTGATGTGGTCCATTTGAGTGGGGAGTTAGATTTTGACATATGTGTCTTTGTTATATGTGTAATGGAAAGATAAATATCAGAAAGGATGGAAAGAAGACAGAGCAATCCTTACTGCTGCAGGGCCAATCTACAGTTCTTGTCTAAAGAAATAAAGAAAATTCTTGGACCTGTGAACTGTTTTCTTATAGTTATTTATTCACAAATGTGCTTCAATGCAGTCATGCCGCTGTGAGGCTTTTATGACGTGAAAATAAGTGAAGCAATCAGTTGTTGTAAGTGCTTCCAAGGAGCACTTTCACACATCTGTGCATGTTCTCAAGAGGTGGGTTTAGCATATTAATGACCCAACTTCATGCATTGAATGTAATACATAATTATGACAGTTGTGTAATTATAAACAATTTCCATCTAAAAAAACAAACAAAAAACCCCCAACAAAAAGCCCCACCCTCCCAAACAATGGAAAAAACATTCCTTCATTAAACTGTTGCATGGGCAGTTACTGGTTTGTGCCTTTGCTCTCTTGTTGCAGTAGTGAGGTGCTGATTCATTTGTGTGTGCTTCTTGCAAAGTTCATACAAAATCCAAGGAAGATGCCAATGGAGTAAAACAAGTCTCAAAGTAAAAATACATTTTTTTAAAACATACTTTTGTGTAAGTAAGGCAAATAAAAGCTATTTTAAAACAAAGTTGTTTGTTTCAAGCAAATGTTTGTCTTGATGGATAGGACTGAAAAATTGGAAAATTCAACAGAGTAGTTGTCTTCCTCCTTTTCTCCTTTCCTCTGCCCTCCTTACCCCCCTTCCAATGGAGATGTGAATTAACTTTATTTAAAATATGGAATCTTATGTTTCTGTCTTTATAGGAAGGGACTGTCCAGAGGTTCCCCAAATCGGTGTCTCTCTGGAAAAAGTGGAGTGTCTCTTCCATCAGTTTTTGCAAGAAATGTTCAAGAAGCCATCGACAATTATACCTGGTATACATGTACTTCTGAAATAATACTTAATTAATTTACTTTTGACTTAGATATTTCCAGATTGGAAATATCTACAGATTGGAGTTAGTTTTCACTAATTCTTCCAGTCATTCTCATGGATAATAACTATTGCACGATATAGTGCAGGATACAAATTGACCTAACCTGCTCTTTAAAGGGTTTGAACTTTATTCCTGGTTTGTGATATGGATTTAAGTATTTTAAGATCATAGTAGAGGACACTGATTATGACTGGAAAGGAAATCAGACTTCATGATTAAATTGAAATCATGTGCACCAATGTTGCAGTCTAGTTAACTTTCTAGAAATTTTATTCCAGATGACAGTGGTTAGGATTTGCCTGCACATCCAATTACCACTGCCTTCCCTGCATCCTGGGATGGGTGGTAGCTGGCAGACACCAGCTAGAACTTCAGGGGCTTGAGTTGCCGTGGCTCAAATTTTAAAGTGCACCAGATTTAGCAACATAAAAAGCACTGCATAGGGACAGGTAACTCAGTGCTATTTGAAACATCTGTAGAGATCTTGTGCTTAGTTTTGTAAAAGTTTTCTTGCAGAAGCTTCTAATGTGAAAGAGCTAAAGAAAGCTTATGTTATCTTTCATTTGTTTTTCATGTGATCACTAGCTGATGTGGAGAAACCAAAATAATTGTTTGAGCTGGAAATATAGATACTGCATGTAATTATATTCAAATACATACACACATACATATGCATATTTTAGAGTGCCATACAGTTGCAATGGTCCATATGCATGCAAAAACTTAATAGTTTAGAAGGAATTGCCTTTAAGGCAGTAAATAGTATTAATAGGAGCATGTATTCACTCTACTTTAAAATAACTGCTTGCACCATTTACTTGATTGGTTGCTTTATTTAAAATATGTTTATACACAAAATAATTGTTCTTCATTCTAATTTGTCTTCTTTTCAGTGAGACACTTTCATCACTTTCACCTAGTGGTTGCACAACACCCACGGAGCTGAATAATTCTTGGTCTATAAACAGCTATACTACTAGTTTGTCTACTGAAAGAAGTTCGGTTTACTCCTGGCGGGATGATGTATGTCACAGAAACTTTTACAGTACCCTTTCTCTAAATATTGTAGAAATATTGGGTTTTTACTGATGTTGGACATGCAGCAACTCATCTATATTAGCCTAATGAATAAGTGTATTAATTGAATTTTTAAAAAATAATTTTGGTTGCATGTTGGTATTGGTGCAGCTAATGTGTAACAAAGGAAAATGGAATCAAATGATAAATGATGAAGGTTGGGGAAAACAAGGCTGTTTTACTGAAGAAGGTAGGCTTAGGTTTCTGAGTCCAAGTGAATGATAAAACATATCTTTTCAAACACCCTGTAGTGCAGGCAATGTCTAATTGAACTGTTCTCAAGGTTTTCAGTTATGAAGTACATTCATGAACATGCATATAAATTTCCCAGTCTTGGTAAATATTTAGCTCTTACATGAACTCAGTTATTTTTTGTAGATGATGTAGAGAGAGGTCCTACTGTTACAAAGGCTGACCTCTGAGGCATTCTGGGTGCAGGCTGGAAGTTGCAGCATTGCCATTGCTGCCACTGTCATTTCTGGTAGTGGTAGTTCTGCTATTCTTTTTGCATAATGCTCTAACCTTTAGGGTACTGACCCAGTCTGTGGCTGCCAGCCCTTCAAGGAGAAAGCCTGACATTGGGTATTACAGTAACCTGTGTGAGAGTTATTTTCTCATTCCTTTTCAGTGTGGTCCCTTCTGTGGCCTGAAGTGCTTTGAGGCATTCAGCTGGAAGTGAACAAGCATAATTTGGGTCTTGAGTTTTACTAGTTTTTTTAGTGTATCAAAGTATCTAATGTCAGTGGCAAATGTCATTACAAACAGTGTCCAGCTGAGGAACCCTCAGTCAAGTACTTGTCTCTGCATCACTGGATAAAATCAGGCATTTCTGTACTATTTTCATTTGCTTTTATGTTAACCTACTATCTAGTTGCACTGAGTTGTAGGTTCAGTGAAGAAGTATGGAAGGGTATTTCTCACACTGACAGCTGTATCCTAAGCCCTAGACTAGGTCACACAGGAATAAGGTGCTCCCTCTTTGCCCTCTTAGCTGCTGTACATAGAAAGGAAGAAGAAGAGCATTTTGTGAAAGAGCAGAGTGCCCTGGGTGCCAGAGATGCAGTGTGTGTTCTTCACATTGGCACAGGGAATAAGCTGGGAGGCTAAACAACTCATAACGGTTGTCTTTTTTTTTTTTTTTTTTTTTAATATGGGCTAATTCTAGACAGCTCTATATGTTAATTTTAGAGAAATACAGTCTTGTAGTTGTTTTTTGCTAAATCAATTGTTTGGGCCAGCTATATGGGATTTTTTGGGTTGTTGGGGTTTTCTTTGCATTGTGGTATATAAATTGTGTCCAAAATACATAGTCTGAACATGCGTTCTGACACACTCAGCTGTTTTGCATATATATATATATTGCAATATAAATTGTGTCCAAAATACATAGTCTGAACATGCATTCTGACACACTCAGCTGTTGCTATAGGACACAAGATAACATGACGCAGACACGCTGCTCTTCTCAAGGCAGGAAAAAGGGAAGTTTATTTTCTGACTCCAACATTTATAGATTTCTAAAGGTGAGAGTGGATTGGAGGGTGAAAGTGCCACCTCTCCAGGGATACTGGACAAACTAACCGTCTATTAAGTTTTTTTTCTTCTATAAAAGAATGTAAAACAATAACTTGTTTACAGAATGTGAGAAAGTTTGGTACAAGAATGCAAACATCAAAAAACTTAAAAAATCTTAAAAAATCAAAACAACACTCAGCCAAGTTGATTCATGTTGTTCTGTTCTTTAAATATCACGGAAATTTTAGTATACATGCATATTTGCTGACAACTATTAACTTTATAATATATAGGAATTTGATAAAGCCAACACACAGAGAGTGCATCAGTTATTTTGGGAGATTGATGAAATGCTGTTTGAAGGAAAAGTGACCTCCCAAACAGAGAACCTGCAGGCAGAATGTGCAGATTGGGTTGAACAATTTCCTCATATAAGGTAAGGAAATTCTTGCTAGTAGTAGTTTTAATCAGTTACCATTCTAATTTGAATTTTTGGGGTACCCTCTTATGGTTTGGGCATCAGCAACACTTGTGCATTCAGGTCTATATCTCTGGGACTGAGCTGTGCCATAGCTGTCAGTAAATCTGGGCAGTGGTGCTTTAGCATCACTGTATTTTGATTAATAAAATGATTGCAGGCAAAGTTGTTCAGAAATTATTTTATTATATAATTTAGTGTATATTTATTAGAGTTGCTTTCATCTTTTCTCTCTTCCTCTCTACATTATGCATGTTGGAGTTTGCACATTTTCTGAACTTTACCTGTAGCCTTAACTTTCCATGTAAACATTTTTGAAGTTGGATGAATGAAGTCACAGCAGATGTTATTTATTTTCTGCATCCATTTTTAAATGTATCTCAGAGTTTTTTCATAAGAAAGGAAGTGTGTTTACTTTTGTCTGGCTTTAGAATAATCTAACAAGTTTTACTATTTACTCTTAAAATTTATAAACTAGAATCTTATCTTGTGTAAATCAGCTTAATTTTAATGACTTAAATAACAGGCAATATTAATACACAAGGCTCTGGCCCCTCAAGGCAGATGTAAGTTGTGATTTTGCATTGCCTACTGTTTGCATGTGCTTGTATTCTGGATATTTGCATATGTCCATCTATGACACTGCTTGTTCTCTCCTTTTTTATTCAGGGTTCTAGGAAAGCAGCTTCTAGTGCCAAAGGATGAAGGCTTTCAGCATTTTCAGAGCAGAAATGATGCCCGTGTAGATACTAAGTGTGTGCCTGGCCTCCTTGAATGTACTGGTCATACAAAAGAGTATGTTAATTTTTTAAACTTTTTGTTTTGGTCTTCCCTCTTCAGAAACACGTACAAATATTACTTTTGTATTACTTAAACATGTCAGTATAGTTAAATATGCACTTTCTCCTTTTTTTGAATGTTTAATTCTCATTTTCTTGATATTTTTTTCAGACTCTGCATCTCAGGCTCTAAATTGATCCCAACAGTATCTCCAGTACATACCGCACTGGATGCAAGTTCCACTGGGGTTTCTGCTTCAGACTCAGCCACGTATTCCTTCCTGGAAGAAGAAATTTACGATGAGGATGGAAAAATAGAGGAATATCTTGCCTTTGACAACAAGGAACTGTAAATAACAGATATGTGTATTTTTGAAGAGTGTAATGAAAAATTATTGATGAACTGAGTCAGGGTTCCTAAACCGTGTAAGATATAGTTCCTTCTGTCCCTCTGTTCAGTAGCACAGTTGTCAGAACACTCACTGGGCATGTGGAAGATTAGGTATGTTGTCTTTCTAGTGGTTTAAAGCTCACATCTCCCATTTCAGAGAAATGTCTTAACCACTAGTTGTTTTGAGGTATTTGATGCATGGAGATTCAGTAAAATGAATATCTAATTTTGAGATGGGCGGAATGAAGGCATCCCTTCTCCCCAAGTGAGTGCCTTGAGCATTAGGTTGTTTAGTGTCATTACACTATTTGTGCTGTTATTCTCTGCCCTAATGAGTCTTAAACTCTTTCTGTGCAGAGTATAACAGCTTGGTGAGGAGAGCTGCAGGTTACAGCCTGCATTTAGAGCACTCTTGTGAGCGAAGAGTCATTCAGTCATCTTCTTGACAGGGTAGCCTAGGTTTCCTGTGAGCCAGTTGAATGTTCCAGCAGCTAGGCTACTGGGTGGATGAAAGATCATCATGTGCTGTTTTCTAAAAGACCTGTAAAAGGGGAAAGCTTTGGTAGGACTCATTGGGCACAAAGCACAGCTTTTTGTGCTAAGGCCTTATGTGCACTCAGAACAAAGACATGGTTGTTCTGAAAACCTGAGGAACCTTTCAGACAGAGACCCTTTCATTGCTCTTTTTGAAAGAGAAGGCTGGGATTGCTGCCTTTTTAAGAAGCATTTAGGTTTAAGAATATTCTCAGTAGTTTTCTCTCTTTGTTTTAATAAGTAAGCAAACTTAATTTGGGAGGCTTGTCTGAAGTATGTTTCTCTCTTTTGTCTCTTTCATATGCTTCTTGTTTCCTTCAGTTCTGAAATGCCTTGTTCTTCATAACTAAAACATTAGGTGTTATAAAGCCAGACAGGAGAATAGTTTGGTCATTTTGTGAGTTGCACCAATCAGCCACACCTCACATACAGTTAAGAATTATGCAGTGTGACTTGAGGAAGAAGTGACAGAGAAGAGAAAGGGAGGTAGTAGAAGCCAGTAGGAATTTGGAAGCATCTTTTTGATCTCAAAAAAACCCAAAACCCCTCCATGCCTTAGAAAAAAATACAATGGAATTAAAAAAAGAAAAAAGTTAAAACATTCTTCCTGAGAGGGTGCATTAGAAGACCAAGTTAGGAGATGTTGCTAAAACATATTTCCATAGAAACAGAAAAAAAAAATTAAAAAGCGTAGCTCTTTTTACTTTAGCGCATAGGAAGAAGCTATGTGTAAGGCTATGGGCTCTGCTATTATTGTCATACTGCAGAAATCCTTTAAAATTGTTTCATCTTTGATCAATGGTGGAAATTACCGATGTGTGCAGGTACACAGGGTACGCTGAGAAAGAAATTTTCATGTGAGAGTCCACTTGAGAAATACAACAGATGTTGTTGCCTCTGTTATTATAAAAAGCATAGGATTTAGTCTCAAGGATTTAGCCACATATAAAACTTTTTCCTAGACCTGCAGATCTTTCTGTTGTAATGCCCTAATGGGATTTTTAAATTTTTCAATGGCAGGCAAATGAAAAAGAAATCAGTATATGTGTTTGATAAGTTCTCTTCCCTTAGGTGAATTTGAGTTTGAGTTTTTTGGTTATCTCCAGCTGACTGCCTTTTCTTCTATATGTATGTTTCTCTATTGAAGGAGGGGGTAGGGGTGGGGGAATCAATTCCCATGGGAATTCTTTTGAATCTGTTTCCTTTATTAGTGAGGATGAGATTTGGGAACAAAAGAAAATGCGTCTTTCTGAGAAGAGGTGTAAGCGTGGCATTCCCCCTGTTTCTCCCAATGCCTGTATCAAAGATGCTGTGGCTTCTGAAGTGTTTGATCATATCTGGAGCAGTGTCATTGGAATATTGGAGGAACTGATTAAAAAAAATTGGGAAACTAGTATCCCAGGTATTTGATATTTTCATTTGAAAATACAGTATTTGTTGAATCTAATTCAGAAAAGTCATCCTTCCCTATCCACTTAAATTAAGCAAATATTCCAAGCTTTAGTTAAGATAGCCAGTGTCATAGAGCTGTAATAAATGTAACACCTTGGCACGAGAAAGGTGCATGTGTGTGCAGCAAAAATAAAACTTCCTAATTTTCAGGGAGTTGTGTATGAAAAGTGTAAAAAGAAAAATACTAATTGAAATGGCTTCATTGCAAGAGAGCATGTTTAAAAAAAGAAAAATATTAATCACTGGCTTGAAGATGCAGTTTGATGCTGTTAGTCATGATTAGTCAGGGGATCACTGACCATGTGATCTGGAATCTAGGAATCTGATCTAGGAATCAGAGTGTCCTAGTCCTCATTGTTTAAGCTTTAGAAATAGAAAGCAATAGAAAGAACCCTTGGGTAGTCAGAATGTTAAAGTGAGGTAGACAGTCTTGCTGATGTGCAGGAGTTCATGACTTGACTACAGGATGAAGAAGAGGTGATGCATGTAATTTTATTTTATGTTTTCATTGTAACAGACTGTAGTGAGAAAAAGGAAAAGCTAGGAAAAATAAGTACAAGTGAAAACCTATTTAGTGTGCATGTGTTGTCTCTGGAGGCTGAGGGGAATTTCAGTTCTTTCAATGTATTTTAAAAGGACAGAAGTAACAGAAGAATACCTGAGGGTGGGTCTTGGAAGTTACCTCTAATGTACGGTACACTCAATCTCAAATAAAGAATACAACAAAATAAGAAATTGCAAAATTTCTCTGAATGTTTACAGTACCAGAATTTAACATTTCAGGTTTTTCTGTAATTTAAAAGTTCTTTTGACACTGCAGGTGGATTGTTTAGCTCTCTGTATTAGTATTATAGTTTAGGGAGGATCATTTAGCAGTATTATGATAGGTTTGCCTTTTTATTTACTTTTGAAGGTCATATAGCTAGTATTTAAACTAGGAAGGAAAATAATTTGGGTTTATAATAGAAATAAGATCATTGCATATACCCAAAATGAACCGGGGTATAGCTGCTGTGAGATGAGGCTGGTATCAACAGACTTTTATTTTATATATATATATATATATTTAATTTTTTTGCTACTTAGAAAGGAAAAGCTCTGGGGATTTTTAGACAGCATTTCAAAGATCTTAGCTGTATTTTCTTAAACAACCACCTCCAAATCTACCTGTATAGTCCAGCTTGTATGTCAGTGTCAGAGAAAGCATAGACAAATGGAAATGCTTTCAAAAACCCATAATTTATGTTAGATTTTTAAATAGCATGGAAACATAAGGCTATGTGCAAGTCTTTATTTACTGTGTAATATTATGTGAACCCCAAGAAATGACGGCTGGTAAACATAGAAAATCTTTCCTATTCCCTCTACTTTTTTTGCTGTTGTGCAGAGTGTGACCAACAAATAGAAAAACTGAAAACTGTTACAGCAAAACTGCCACATTTGCCAGTCATTCATATTACAGCAGATGCTGGGACCATTCCTCTTTCCAGAGGCTCTGAAGCACAAACTGTATCTTTTGGGGCTCATTCGGTTTCATCGCAGGTAAAAATAAAACAAACCTTTTTGTCAAATGTTCTTTTTTTCTTCAAACCTTGGGCAATCTTGATCAAAACTTGAAAAGGCTAATTTTCTTTATTTCCTCTTTTTTTCTCTTTACACCAATTAGGGGTACTTGAAGTCATCTGATTTAAAATGAAGTTTAATTCAATGTTCATTTTTTGTTTATTGTCACTTGTTTTTCTTTGGTGGTTCTTAAAGGTACAATTTATCACTAAGGTATTGCTGCCATTGATTTACAAAGTCTTGTTAAATTCTATTCTGTCCTTAAAAATTAATTGTGCTTTTATTGCGATCCAGTAATTTCTTCATGGTAGAATTAAAAAGACAAACTGGGATGTGAAGTTGCAACTTAAAGTGCTTTTCTCACAACACTGCGAGTTTCAGACTCTCCCATTCCCTCTCTTTTTCTTTGCCTCATGTGAAAGGGGATTCTGCAGTACGTCCACTAGCATGCTGGCACCAGGCCTTACCTGTCTTTGTAGAAGCTCATGCTTGTATTGATAAAATGTCCTATTTTGTCCTGCTTGCTGTCTCCTCCACCTGTCTCCTGATTAGTGTATTGCACATTTGTTTCCTTTTTCAGCCACTGCTTCTGTTTGTGTTTTTTTTTTCTCCTGTCTTTCACTACTGAGTTCAAGCGACTTAATTTTCTTCCATCAGCTCTTTTTCCATGCTTGCTAAACAGTGAGATAAGGAACACAGGAAAGATAGCACAGCAGTCTTGGTTCTGCCCATAGGTGTGCTTTGTTCTGTAGCAGTCTCAGCAGCCAGGAGAGGTAAATGCCTTGGTAAATCATGCTCCTGTGCTGAGGGAAAATGAAATGTTTGAAGACTCAATCTTTGGCTTCAACTGAAATTTATATTGTAAATTGAGTTGCAATTCAGTAACTAAATTACACAAATTGTGTTTATAAAAATATGTTGAAGATAAGCAAAAGAAAAAAGCATAGTTGCCCCGTGTACTCCTGAGAATTGTACTGAAGCATCTTAAAAGGAACTTTTGTAAAAAACAAGTAAAATACCTCTTAAATATGTGCTTTTTGAGATCTTCCTTCTAAAAAAGTAAAGGTTAACACATAGTTGTTGCTCTTAATAGGTTTACCGTTTCTCCAGCAACTTCTGTAGTGATCTGAGTGGTGTGATGACAATTCAAGCAAAACCGCTCCAACAGAGGCATGCTGCCATAGCAGAAAAAACGCAGTAGGTGACATTGACATTTTAAAAATATGACATAATTCACATAAGGTAAAAATTTTTTTGCAATTAGAGAAATAACTATTAAAAAGGCAGTGATCTGGTGTGATCTTGTGATCACTGATATGATAGTAATTTGCAGAGGTAGAAATGATGAACTGTTAAACCCTTGTTTTTCTTGATCCTAATTCCTTATTTCTTTCTCTTTCCCTAGGAATGAGCAAGAAGACAAACAGCATACCAGTGCCTCCAGCACTCCAAATTCAGCACATGCTAGGTTGGGGAGAATTTCTGATAACAGTATTCTTTCAGCATCTCCGGCTCTACTGGCATCCTCTAGGAAAGTAGCAAGGTTACCTTCTCTGACCTCTGACCAGCCCTGCTCAGAAGTTCCTAATATGCACAATGATGAAATCCGTAAAGGGACAAAATTGTGAGTTTTTCATTTTATTATTTTCTTTTCTCAGAACTTCACTGAAATTTCACCACGGAAGGATTTTGCAAAATACTTGAGAACTAACACATGATTTACTATTAATTTTAGAATTTAGAGGGAAGAAGAAAGCAAGCAGAGCCATGATATTTTTTAAGAAAGGCATTTGTTCTACTTCTTTATTGCTGTATTAGGTGCTGTTACTTTCTGTAGCTGAGCTTTATAAAGAAATGTACTACTTAATTATTTCATATTACTTCAATGAAGAAGTCTGTAATGTGAATGCTCCTAAAAGAGGAACCTTTAAAATTCTGTAGGGTTGGCAGCAGTTTATCTTCTGCTCGTGCACCTGCAAAGCGGAACAAGTTACCACCAATAAACTCCGAAGCTGTTGAACATGTTTCAGTACCTCAAATGCAACAGAGCCCTGTAAGTTGTGTTCATTATTTAACCAGTGAAGAACTTCAAGCTATTTAGAAATAAATTATGATATGTCACTGGCTGAAGTGAGTAATTTTACATCTTGGGTTGGTTTATATTTAATACATAGATTTAACATGCTAAAGTGTGTTACATTGGGGTGCAATTACAATGCAAGAAAAGGCAGTTCAAAACCTTAGGTCACAGACAGATCATAGTGGAAAGACTTGTCTGACAACAGAAAAATCTGGTTAGAACAAAAAAAAGCTAAAAACAACCAGCCAACAAGATGACAAGGTAATAACCTTGCTCTTCTATGCATCTGGATTTAAATAGCTCTTTTTAGTAGTTTATTCACTAATGTTAGGTTGTAAGAATTAGAAAACTATGCTGACTGAAGTAGAAAAAGCTAACAACTGAAAAAAAGACAGATCTTATATTGGCCAGTTTTGAAATCACCAGAATGAAAGTAAATCAGCATGTTGATATATTGATATGCCAACATAGAAACAGTCTTGCATCTGTTTAAAAAACAGCAAACACTTAAATTGGTGCTTTTGGTTATTGAAAACATATTTTTCTTATCTTCTTGTGAACTTTTGTATGTCAACAGAAAAAAAAAATTAACTTACTCAATTGCTGCATTCTCTTAATGCTCTTTTTAATTCTCTCAGCATCAAGAACGATATACCCATAGCAGAGTGTCAAGTGCAGTAGCTGGCAGGACAGAGCAAAGGCCACTCAGAGAAAGACCTGTTACTGTTCAATTTTCAAGACCCAACACAACTCATACATTCAGGGTATGTTACAGTGTAAGTGGAGACATGGAAAAAGGAAAGAGGTTTTCTTTCATGCCTGCTGTTGGTTTACAGAAAGTCTCATTTCTGAGTCTCTCCTGACTTCTGATGTACAGGGATTCCTGCTACCTGTAGAGAGGAGGATACTGAAAGTTTTGGGGAGGGTGTGGGACTGTTGTATGAATATTTTTTTTTCTGTTTTTGAGGTGGTGTGTGTGCTAGAATTGTGCAGTTTTAGTGCTGTTTTGAGCTTTGCACTTTGGTAGGATCCAGTCTGCTGGACTAGATCATAAAAACCATAATTGGCCTCTTTCCATAGATAAGTGTATCTTTCCTTTTTACAGAGAGACACACCTCAGAAGAAGTCACTGACTCCCGTGGATTGTGCTAACCACAGAAGGACTGGTCAAGGATTTTTGATAACAGGTAGGCAAAGGAGAATGACTTAAAAGGTAAAAGGCCAACAAAACTTATTAACCCATCATATTATCAAAAAGTATAGTGCTTAGGGAGAGCTATCTCAGCATAAAAAAGCAACAGGTTTTCTTGGCAGGATCTTTTGAGTTTGGTTTTGAAATTTTTTCTCACTTGTTCTGAGGTAGTCCTAACTCTTATGGGTAGGAATCCTGTGAATCTTCTTTTTCTTGTTATGACAGGAAAAGGAAGAGGAAAAGGATTCAGTCTCATCATCTCATCTTTTTTTTTTTTTTTTTTTAGTATTTTGACATATTTACAACTATAGCAAGAGTATGTGGTGTACAGGTCAGATATTTTTGCAGCTGCTATAGTAGTAACACAGTTGCACTTGTGAACTTCTAATGACAAATTTTATTTTAGGTCTGAAATTAATAAACTTTTTTTGTGTAGAAAAAGTAGATTTGAAAATGTGCATTTAAAAAAAATATAAAGCTCTCATAAAAAACAAATTAGTATTGATCTGCATCTCTGTCTTGAATTTACAACCTCAAAAAGAGAGCAATCCTCTGTAGCTCATTTTGTTTCATTTTTACAGTAAAGGTGACTAGCTAGGTTCCTGGTGTATTTGGTTTCTTATAATTAATCTTTACTTGTTTGGAAGTTCCTTGAGTTTAAATAATTATATCATTGACGAAATTATATAACAGGTGATGTAAGAATAAGGGCAGGTTAGCAAATATTGATCTGAGCACATTGGTGGAAGTAACTCTTATATAATCTTGGAGTGTCTTTCAGAAACTACAACAATTAGTGACATTTTTATTTTCCAGGTTCACAGAATTACTCCAGATCCTTTCAGAGAAATCCTCCAACCTCAAAGAAGAGATTTCAGATCGCTTCTTAACCTGTTTTAGGAAGAAACAGAAACTCCCTGCACTGACTGAAAGACTGAAGCACCAAATTTGCCACTTAGTATCTTGTGTAACAAAGAAGGTGTGCATATGCTGGTGTCTGCTGAGCCTTGCAATCCTCAGGATGCCTGCATTACCTTCTTTTAAAATTACTTGACCAGAGCTTAGATTAAAAAATATAGCAAAAGGAAATAAATGGTTGAGGTGTCTGCTCTGTTTGCAGTATCAAGAGACTGTGCGCTTTCTTCTCAGGCATTCCTCCTTTCTGTGCCTTTCCTAAGAAATTGTTTTTCAACCTATCAAATCAGATCTGTTTAGAACATAAGGGGTACTGTTCCCACTTTTTTTGTTTCATTAAAGATGTTCTAGTCTATCTAAATATTAGTCATATAGAAAATTTATACTTCTAAACAGAAGTTTGCAGTACTTCCTCTTTAACTGCTGTTTTAACATTTCTCCATTTTTCAGTCTGTCTGCTTATTATTATATTATGATACTATTTTATCTCTTACAAGTATTATCTGTACCAGCCTTTTTTTCTTTCTTTAATTCTTTCGAAATCTCATTTATTGCTGTTCTAATCATCAGTAACTGCGGGAACTGCTGGGATAAACTTGTTTACAGCAAATAATGTTTTCCCTGCCAAGCCAGGCCTTTATAGATGCTGAGCAAATGAACCACATGCTGACAAGCTGTAAGGCCATTCCCACTTTTTGAGATTTCTTGCGCAAATGAAGAGAAGAGCAGAACAACAAGCTTCTGCAGCTTAAAAAGAAAGAATTGCTAATTACTAGGGCAGCAATGAATTGCTATCAGGTGACAAGAGATAGGAAGAGGGATGTTTGCTGTCTATCAGAAGTATTTTAACACTTCTCCCTTTTGGTCAGCCTTTGGGCACCTGACAATCACTGGTCATCTTACATCCTGATAACCATTATAGACTCATTCCAGGTTGGAAGTGACCTCAAGGATCATCTGGTCCAATCTTTGTTGGTGAAAGCAGTCTGGGTGAGATGGCCCAGCTGAATCTTAAGTCTCCAATGCTGGGGAATCCACCACTTGGCACATAATGGAGAGATTATTCCAAAGGCTGATTATTCTCATAGTGAAAAGTTTTCTCTTGTATCCAGTTGGTATCTTCCCAGGTGTAACTTGCACATATCACTCCTCACTTTTCCATAAGACTCCTTATGAACCGGGAATCTCCATCTTCTTAGCAGACACCCTTTAAATACAGGAACACAATGATAAGGTGTGCTTAAGCTTATTTTCTCCAAGCTGGACAAATCCAGTTTTCGCAGCCTTCACGTGACAGGCTACCCAGTGATTTGGTCATCTTTGTTGCCCTTTATGTCACCTTCTCTACCCTGTCACATCTTTCTTGTATAGCAGGGACCAAAACTGAACACAATATTCATATGTGGCCTGACCAGAACTGGTTAGAATGCCATAGTTACTTTATCTCTCCTGTCATTGATGCAGCCAAGTCTTGTATTGGCTTTCTTTGCTGCAGCAACAAACTGTTCACTCACACTGAACTGCTTGTCCACCAGCACCCTCAGGTCCTTTTCCATAGAGCTGTTCCCTAGCCAGGTAGATCCCCAACCTGTGCTGCTCACCTGGATTATGTTTTTCCATGTGCAGAACCTTATATTTGTCCTTATTGAACATCCTAATGGTCTTGTTTGCCTAATTTTCCATCCTGTCCAGGTTGTCCTGCAGGCTGGCTCTCCCTTCCAAAGTGTCCACTGCCTCAGTCAGTTTGGTATCACTGACAAACTTCATCTGGGTACACTTGATCCCATAATCCAAACCACTGAGGAAGGTACTAAACAGCCTTGGGCCCAGTATCATTCCCTGGGGGACTCCACTTGAGGCAGTTGCCAGGGTGAGAGGGAGCAATTTACCACCACCTACAAGGTCAGCCAATTTCCAACCCACTGCATGGATCACACATCCACACCATCACATACACATATCTGTAGGAGGAGGCCATGGGAAACCATATCAAAAGCCTTGGAGATATCCAGGTAGACAATGTTCACTGCAGACCCCACATCAGCCAAGCAGGTTCATTTGTTGTAAGAGGCAATCAGGTTTGTCAAGCAAAATTTGTCCTTTGTCAATCTGTGCTGGCTTTTCCTAATCATGAGCTCCATTTGACTTCTAACAGCTCCCAGGAAAATTTGTTCCATAGGTTTCCCAGGGACTGAAGTTAGATAGATGGGCCTGTAGTTTTCTGGGTCCTCTCTGAAGTCCTTGTAGACAGGAGTGACATCAGCCTTCCTTTAGTCTTCTTGGATGTCCTCCAAATTCCACATCTCGAAAATTATGGAGAGTGGCCTCAGCTATATTGGCCAGCTTTCCTTTGTTGGATACTGTCAGAGCACATCAGTGTGTAGAGGTCAAGCTCCTGTAATAGTTCACACATCAACCCTTCCTTCACAGATAGTGGATCTGTGTTTGCATCAGACAGGATTTTTTTCCAAAGGCCTGGTGCTGATGGAAGGACAAAGGTGAAGAAAGTGTTGAGTACCTCTGCCTTTTCAGCCTTGGTGACTAATTCATCTCTCCTGTTAAACAGCAGGAAAATACTTTGTTTCTGCTTGTTTACATACCTGTCCTGGTTTCACCTGGCACAGAATTTATTTTCATCCTAGTACCTGGCACAGTGGTGTGTTTTAAATTGGTATGAGAAAAACGTTTATTACACCCTAATATTTCAGTTCTTGCTAAGTTGTGTTTGCCCAGCATCAAAGATTTTCAGTGCTCCATGCCCTGCCAGTGAAAGGTTCCACATGAAGCTGTGAAAGAGCCTGGCCAGGACAGCTGACCCCAACTGGTCAAAGGGATATTCCATACCACAGAAGGCCTTGCTCAGTACATGAACTGGGGGGGGTGGCTGGGAGGGACCTATTGCTGTTTAGGGGTGGACTAAGGTCAGTGGGTGGTAAGGAATTGTTTTGTGTAATTGCTTGTGTTTATTAGGTTTTGTTCTTTTCTCTTCTTTCCCTGTTTTCATTTTACTTTATTATATTTCAATCATTAAACTTTTCTTATCTCAACCCATGGGTTTTAGTTTTTTTTCTGATACTCTACTCTGTTCCACTGGGATGAAGTGTATGCATGGTACTTCATCATGGTCTAAGCCATGATAGTACTTGAAGAGCTCTTGTAGTTTTTGACATCTCTGACAAATTTCCATTTGAACTGTGGTTGTGCTTTTCTAACTTCATCTCTGCACACCCTTGCAATAGCCTTATGCTTACTTGGATGTAATCCTGAAGCCTAGAAGAAGATTCACAGAGAACTGGACAAGGAGTTTGGTGAGTTTTCCATTCCTCCTTATCAAGATTGAAGAAATTGAGATAGGAATGCCACGTGGCCACTCTGGGGTTTTAAGTAGCTAGAGGTGGCTGGGATGGGTGCTGGAATATCGTCAGGAGAGAGTACTGAGAAAGTTTTCCAGGTAAAGGGTAGGGTTTTTCTCTATTTTATGGTAAAGCAGTTGTAGACAGCCACCCATTTGCTGTTTTGATCCTTCCTTTCCCTTTTCTCTTAGGCGAAGGGTATCAAGTATTGAATGGTACAAATACTCCTGTTATAACTTGTGCCCTACCAAGATTTTCCCTGACCTGGAGGAGTTTAGTCCTGAGCGATTCTTCCCTGAACATTATAAGGAAAAGCACCTGTATGGTGCTTTCCAAATATTTTATGTTGTTGACAGTTGTCATGCATCCATCACTTTGTAACAGACATTTCTGGACCAACTAGGGGGTGATGTGAAAGATATTTCACCCCTATTTTCCCTTTCAGTCTTGTGATTGTTTCATGGTGGGCTTTTCAGGTGAGTGTAGATGTCATGGTGTCAGTAACAGCCCTGCTACTGAGGTAGGCTCTCTGAGAAAAGGCTAGAGAGGAGAACACAGTTCCTGCCGGCTCCACTCTGGATCCACTGCAGGACACAGCTGAGTTAAGCAGCCAAACCAGTGGCACTTCAGAGAAAAAGTATTTACAAGTGTACAAAAAAATGCTAAACAGACAGAGAAGTGTGGGGAGGGGAAAGAGAGGGAAAGAGCAGTGCAAACACCAAGGTCTGAAGGAGGAGGAGGCAGTGCTCCAGGCTCCAGAGCAGAGATTCCTCAGCAGCATGTGGAGAAACTATGCTGGAGCAGGAGAAAAGAGAGAGGAGGGAGCAGCAGAGAGGAACTTTTGTCTTTGTTTTTAGCTTCCTCATTATTTGTTTTTAATTGCCTATAAATTAAATTGAATTTCCAAATTTAGCTCTGTTTTGCCCATGATGGTAACTGATAAGAAATCTGTCAGTCTATTTTGGCTCCTAAGCTTTTGTGTCCTGTTGGGAGAGGAGAGTGAATGGGGGGCTGTCTGTCTGCTGGCCAAGGTTAACCCACCACAGCTTCTAAGAGGATGTACAGCTATGACTGTGCTATGTGCAGGCATATCAAATGTGGACAAAGAACTTCCTAGAGCAAACACTGATACCAAATCTTCCATGCTGCAAGAATGCAGGGAGCAGATTTCCAGTGCTGTGCTTCTGTGTCAAGTTTTTCCTGGTCTTAAACTGCCCTGTTTATTCATTTCTCATGACCTATGGCTCACTTCATGTAGTGTGTTGCATGCTGCTAAATGCTTTCTTTAAATTTGCTGGAGTTCAGCAAGGAGCAGGCCATGTACAATCTAGCCAAATCACAGAGAAGTGGGCAGAATCTTCACTTATGACCTTGGAGGAGTTGTGATCATCCAGCTTGGGAGTGTGCACTTTCCTGGAAACACTGATGAATAAACACAGGTGTGGTGCTGTGGTACCTACTTAGTGTTAATTGTCTATTAGTTTTGCCAACATAACTGACACCTTATCAGAATTGCTTTGCAACAGTAGTCTGTGTTCTGGGGCATGAGTGGCGGTCTCTGTTATTGTAAATCACATTGTTATCCTGGTAGAGAAGATTATGGTTTCTTAGGTCACAAGGTTTTGTATACCTTTGGAGATAATTAATTCATGCAAAATGTCTTGTAGTGAAGGAACTAAACAGTTGCTGCTCTACAGTGAACACTAAGTTGGAGAGACCAAGCAAGGTATGCTTGGTGGAGGTGGCATCAAACCAGTCAGTGTCTTTGAAAAACAGCTGTGGTCTCTGTCTCACAAATGCTATTAATGTCCTGTACCTGTGTGAGAAGGGGTCCACAGAATGATTTGAAGCTGGAGTCTTCCTCAGGATTTGTTCTTGGAAGCGAAAATTTTGGGTATGAAGTTTTAGTAGCCTTGTTTGGGCATGAAATTTAGTATCAGGCCCTAAAATTCCTCTCTGAGGACTGGGGAGATCTCTGAGCTCTCCAGCTGTCCAGCTGATGACATACATTGAAATGGAGATATACTGTGTTATGTTTTCTTTGTCTAGGTGATGGCTATTGTGGACTGCAAATAGCCTGTTTATTTCAGAGTAGCTTTCTGCATAAGGGTTAATCATGTTGCAATGGTGTGTGTTTAGAAAGAGAGAAGCTCTTGCTAAGAAAGCCTTTCTTAAGAAAAAAACCCAGTTTTTCAGAATGAGATGTGTACTTCTCTATTCAGCTTGGCTGCTGAGCTATTCAGCTTGTACTTCAGCTTGGCTGCTGTGCTCAGCTATGTTCTGCAGTGGATCCAGAGTGGAGCCAGCAGGAACCCCCCTCTGTTGTATCAGATCCACTTTAGACTTGCTTTGCTTTGTTTTTGTTTTATTTTGGTTTTTTTTCCTGCTGTTAATGATGATGTTTTTTTAGTTTTTCTTATTGAAGAATCCAGGCTTCATTCTAGGGACTAGCAGAAGCCTGTGTTGTCATTGTGTTTCATGGCTGACACAACTGCCTAAGAGGTTGCTTGTCTTCTGCCAGTACAGGTAGATAGGCTTCCACTTAGGCAAGAGGCTGAAGAAGAGCAGGTTTGCACTGTTACAAGCATTTATAAAAGCAAAGATTCACTAACCAGTGGAATGCCCACAGAAATGCAACACTGAACAATAGCTCTCAGGGTAAAAAGGAAATGCTGATCACAATCCGGTAGAAAACTCATTTCCTACAGAACATCCTCCAAGTTTTGTTATGATTCCAAGTCTTGGTGACATAATTAGGCCTCAAAGATGCTAGACCTCTCATTTCTTGTTTCTTGGGTATGTATCTTTTATGTCTCATTCCAGTGTTTCTGCTCCCTTTTATTAACATCATCACCATTGCCAGCTGCTGGCAGGATACTGCAGTGTTTGCTTTGCAGTGTTCCCTACTACTTTCCCAATGCCTTTTCACCTTCTCCTTGCTGTTTCACAGGGGTTTTTTTGGTTTTTGCTGTTTGGGTTTTTTGTTTTTCCTGTAGAAAGAGTACAGCAGTTAGAAGTACAGATTTTTGACTCAGAAGCAGAAATAGTCACTTCACCAAATTATTGGTGCAATTAGGGCAACAAACTGCAAGACTTTTTGTAAATATGAGAGTATAATTATTCAGCTGACCTCCATCTTAAAAGTAGAAAAGGTGAGTCTCTTTGTCCTGTGCTGTTTCCTTCCTAGGTTGTCACCTGAACAAAAGAGGGGACTGACGATTGTCTAACTTGCCTATGTGTTTGCAAAACTGGGTATATATCTGCTGCTTTCGGTCACAAACCATTACAAATAGCAAGAGTAGCAAAGTTCATTTCCAACTGTTTACTGTGCAGAAAGATATAACAGTCAGCATTTATGATGAAGTTTCTGCTGGGAGTTTGCAAGAGCAAAGTGCCAAAATTTACCCCTCTCTGATGCCAAGGGTCACAGAAACTTACTTAACTTCTGACATTCTGAGCTTTCTGTTTGTGTTTTTCTCTTAGTTGTTTTGTTTATGCTATTTGTTGATTTGCTAAAAATGCTTTTGCAGTCAGTGCAGTCATTTTTGGTACAAAGCAAAGAGGATAAATGTGACTATGGCCATAAGCACATACCATTTGTGCTTTATTTGGGGGGTGAAGTCTTGTGAATTGGCTGTGAACCATGCTGCCTCTACCAAAATTCTGTTTCACCAAAAGGTTCCTGGGCACCCACTTTGAGAAACAGATGCTCAGTAGCCCTGCAGTAGTGAAAAGAGACCCTGGATTCTCCTGAGGCAGGAGGGGCAGCAGTGTGTATGGTGGGTTTGGTACTGTGAGTACTCAGGCACTTTGGAAGTTGGGGCACAGGTGCTGGTGCTGCCGGTTGTTTTACTGGCACCTTTTAGCCTGTGCCTGAGCATTCAACAATGAGAAGAGTAAAGGCCATTTGAGCTGAGAAGCATCAGTGTGCTTTGCAGTGCTGCTGTTGATTAGGGATCTTTATGGGCTTTGGTTTTTGTAACCCCTTGAAGCCATCAAACCAGCTGAAAAGGGGAATTCTCCATCTGGCCCTTCAGTTATCGTGTTGGCCAGCAGAACTGGAGCAGTTCTCTATGGCAAAATGGTGTTGAGCACCTGGGAAGAGATTGAGAAAGATGATATTAACAAAACTTATCTATCCTAAATCAGCAAAAAGGTGTTTTTTCTCTTGATGGTGCTTTGTTTTTTCCTTGTGAGGTATTGCATGGGCCTGCAAAGAAGGAGGGAACAGTCACTGCCCTCACTTGGCTCGAACCAAGTGAGGGCAGCGACTGTTCCCTCTGGGTTGCCTGTCACCAGGAAATACTAGAATGCAGCCTCTCCATAAGAGTGTTTTTCAACTCTGTTAAACTCTGTTTATTTTCCTGGCAAGAAGCTACGCCAGTGGCCTGTGTGGTGGCTCCGCCTCCTGCTCTTCTGGCCAACTTTTCTGCAGTGCCGGGTACAGGCAGCGCCAGTTTTGCAGCAGGGATCGAGGCTCAGAGCAGGAGGCTGGGAGGTGATGATGGAGGTCGTGGAAGGACTCTCAGGGAGACCCCAGCTACTGCCATGGGGAGCTGGGATCGTTGCTGTGCTTTTGACAATTGTGACTGTGTGTGTCCTGCCCTCCCTGATGGAATACTGGAGGCAATGGCGGATGATGAAGTCGATCCCGGGTGTCAGCCCCTGCTATCCTGTGTTGGGAAATGCCCTGC